CATCACAATTGCAAAGTTTATACATTTTTGGCAAGTATTCCTTTTTTCCGAGAAATTGTCTAGATGTTTTAAAGCAGATGGTTATAATACAGCCATTTCGTTGCCAATCGTTTTGGAGGGCCTTTTGACACCATTGGTAGCCTGGAATTCGTCGTAGACATAGCCTGAGGATTCAAAAAGTACGTTCTTTATCGTGTGTGTCAACAGAGTCTGTGAGCAATTATTGCAAGGTGTACAAATTCGCCATGAGCCCTCAATCACTTAAACAGCAGGGGCAGATCAAAGCGACGCGGTAAATGCGACAGGGTCTTCATTTCGACACTGTTCGTGGTTTGAAAATGCGAAGCCAAAGTTTGCGAAATTTGTGGCAGTCCTTGTGGTGAGGAGGTGCCCCAGGTCGAATAGGAACGAACGTCGCTACGTGAGATGCATTCAAGATTATCGATCGGATCCACGGTGATCTTGAAGGCATTCCAGCATGGACGTGGTGGTCGCCAACTGCGCCGTCTCGACGTTGGTTAAAAACACTGTAGTAATTACCCGAAAAATCGCAGTTTCTGGCCTCATTACTTATGCATGCGAAAACGCTGACATGTTCAGCGATGCCACGACCCCGGTTTAAATGAATTTGGCGAAGAGTTTGTTTAGTTATTTATGAGTTGAGCGGTTTGCACTCTCCCTCAGTTCGAACTGCACCTGCTTCATTTGGGCTCATGAATTTAAAATGGACTGCTCCCCTTCAAATTCCCTAAACGAGTGATGAATCCGGTGTCTCGAGCGGACCCTGATTACCACTTATAATGACGATAGTAGTATAGAAAGGTTGGACGTTATTAGCAAGCTAATCAGACCAACAATAATACAATTGAGAGTCCTTGTTTAACTATCAGCACTCAATTTGATGAGCTTCCAACTCAGAAAATACTCACGCCTCTTCGACAGCTGTGCCGGCAGCTGTTCAGCAAGCAGTTTCCGTGGAATCATCGAAGGAATCGTGTGTTTGTTGAATTCGGTACAAGTTTCAACTTCAAAAAGCATTCCTCAGCATATGGTTAATTTCCACGCTTCCATGCGACCATTCCACTGTAGCGATTTTCGCCTCGACATAGTTTGGGAAAATTTGCAGCCGTGGCAATTTCAAATGGAAAGCGCATTTTGGCAGTCATTTTAAATTTAGGCTGATGAAGGTTGCGGTAAAAAGATTAAGGAGACAAGAGATGCCAGAGACACAACAGTTTATTGGATGGTTCAATCCAGTTGAATTTGTCTTCAAGGTCGTGTATGACTAATGTGGCTGTTGACCAATAGAATTTGGGTGATCTTGTAGAAGTACCCAAAACTGAATTGCCAGGGTTGCTTGAACAGGCGATGTAGACGTGGTGAAGTGGGCGGCGACAGATTCGATAGCAGTGAGGAACCGCGATTCACTACAGCTCTCAGGAATACCAGGAGGAAGGCGACTGGCCGTCGTCGGACACTTGGCGTTATCGAAAGACCGACAGGATGTCTAAAAGTTTGATCTGTGGGTTTTTTCCATGTGGTTGAGAGGTGAGTTCCAAGGTGTGATTGTGTCAAAATGATTTCCCAGGATAATCGTCGATTGTTACTGCTCGTGAGAATTGATTGTTGAGGCTTAGTTTCAAGTTTGGGCGATAATTCAGCCATGATGGTTTGCGTCGCGTCAATGCGCCTGATTAATAAACTAGCCAGACAATAAAATTTAAGTGAACCAGTAAAAGTACAAATGACTGGACGTCCAGATGAAAGAGACAGGTACCGGGGAGGGAGGGAGGGGGAGGCACATGACGCCGGTGTGGCTCTACGCAGTCTGGCTGATGCGCCCAAGTAACAGTGACCTTGAGTTCCCAAACACCTGCCCCCATCTTTTGTTTTAATGGACTAGAGCATTTGTTGGGCGCCTACTTGAATATTGATCGCTAAACTGGACATACTTGACCTTGATGACTGTCAGAAGAAGATCAAGCGCAATTTATGCATGATTTTCAGCTGCTGCACCATTCTTCGTTTGAATTTGTCGGAGTTAATTTCGCGCCACAGACATTCCCACACTCTATGACCTTGAAAAACTTGAATCAAATTATTGATTTTTTGAATAACACTGCACATCAATTTCAGAATGTAATTTGCCTGGAGAAAGCAGTTCACGAATAGATTTTAAGTGCGCCAATCATTTTGTGACATATATTGCGTAATCACATCATCCATTCCGTTACGTTTGCCCGTAAATATAGAGAAAACCACTCAAATAACGATACCAGATCCCTTGTTGACGCTAGCACCAACCTTCCCACGCTAATACAAGAACAAGACCATAGCTCGTGTAGAGAGCTTTATTCACGTCAGCCACGTGCGGTGAGTTATCAAAAGTGTACACTAATTCAAGTCAAGGTTGACCTTGACCTGGTAAAAAGCGCAATAAAACACATGTTGGGGAATTAGTGCAAATTGTGCTAGAAACCAACGACGAACAATCTTGGGGTATCGTGGATCCCCAACACATCTAAAATTATCCAATCGCACGTTTGTGATTGCTTCCCTCACGCCATTGGATACGTTTCAGATAACCTTGAAAATTGAGCAAGTTGGTGTTTTTTGTTGGCGTGGTTATCGCTAATTTGGAGACTAAATACTCGTCAGAAATTTTGTGGTTACGCAAGTTAACAAGTTATCGGTTTATATCTCATTAGTTAATATCGATATCGGAAATGTACGTAAATAGGTTGAATCGTGTTCGCTTACGCATGCTAGCAGTGTCCATTCGCTACTCACCACCAAACTGTGCGTCCGTTCGGGGCTTGAAGTACTTTAGCAAACTGCGGAATACCTGTGAAAAGTGCAAAATAAAAGGGCCGTTTTCTTCAAAAAAAACGTCTCGATGAAATAAACGCTTGCGTGCGGCGATAACGAAATTCTTCTCTTCTGGCATACTCGTGTCTAAAGCCTCTCTTATCAATTTCTTTCTATCTGCGTAACCATAAACCGGAATTAGCCACACTGGGGATATGAGGGTGAGGGAACACAGATAGGCATCTGGTGAAATTTATGACATGTCGTCCACCCACCTCCACCAATGCCGCTTACCTTTCATCCCCTACCGCCCGGTGCGCGCCTCATGCCCCCCCCCACCCTACTCATGCCCCTCCCCCCACCCTCCCGCAGTGGTAATGCTCTAATGCGTCTGAATTATTAAGCACGCCAGTCCACCGCGCTAGTGCCTTGCTTCCAGCATGCCAGCAGCAGCAGCATCATCGTCAGCATGGGAGACGGCAATCGTTACATTCGAGAGTATAAGCATCTGGTCGACTTTGCAACACAACGCACGTCACATTAATAACCGCTGACTGTGGAAGCACCACGCGCTCCCCGTCTTTGTGTGGAAATGTATCGCAATTCGTGTCTATCCGCATCGGTCAATTTTCAAGTCAGCGCAAATTGGATTCCCCTTTGGCCAATATTGGGGAGAGGATGAGAATACCTTTCGGTTTGGATGATGCCGCTGTAACTTCTCAGTTCAAAGTCGTCATCATCATTATTATCTTCGATCGATCTGGAAAGTAAGTTTTAGTGATGCGGTCTCAATCGGCCTTTGTGCAACACTTTCTCAATTGTGAAGTTCATCTCGGGGACTTTCCTGGACCACAGGCTACTGGGTCGCCATTTAACGTCCAATCAAACCTTTCTTTAAATCATTGCCTTGTCTAATTGTTGTAGCCGGTTGACAGTTGTTGGTTATTCTTCCCTGTGCCATTCTTGAGGCACGAGTTCTCACCAAAACCAGAAACACATAATCACGCATTTCGAACGAGCTGATTGGCCAACTCTACACCAATAACTCGATTTTACTTGAAATGCACTGAGCTAACAATAATCATCCGCCGACCAACCGATCGCCCAATTGTTGAAGTAGCTGCTAGTGACCTTGGAAAGAGGCCTGCATTAGTTCTGACTCACCTATGAATGGCTTTTGTTCCAGTGAAAGGAATTTTGCCGAAATTGCATGATAATTTAAGGCTTGAAGGTGGAAAAGCGCACTGAGCATTCCTGTTATCGAAAGCAACTCATTAGCGATTCAGCGCCTCGTTCATGTGTAGGCGCGAAGTTCAGTTGTGCGTGACCTCACGCGTCCTCATCAGCTCCATTTTTACTTCGCCTTAAGTCAAATAACTTATCTTTTAAAATCCATTACCGGTTTAAGCTAACAATGAACTGTTTTTTGTGAAAATTCAGCCAAGTTAAATTATCTTCGTCTCAAGATACCAAAAAGTGTTTGTTGATTGGCTAAGTGCTTTTGATAAAACACAGATAATTAGCATAAACTGAGGGTATCCACCCAATCAGTGGTCACAGCCGAATATCGTCGCCAAAATAAGCATTTCTTTTGAGATGAATTGAGCTCTTGACGAATTCCTATATTGGGGTGGAGCTCTGATATTTTCTGGTGTTAACCTTGATCTGAGTAGATTGAGGTCTCACCAGATCTCCAACTATCGCTGAAAGACTTATTGCTCAAGCGTCTTTCATCTCGGTGAAAGAGCAAGCATAGTGTACGGTTAGGATCCGAATTCACCAGTGACCACCTTTCAAGCTTGACACCACAGTTCCTCATCCACATTCCGGCCTCCACTTAGTGAAATCAACTCAGGATTCAGTAAACAAGGACCCCACGATCTGGTACAGTCCCAATTCAACGGCGAAGTGCCGCAGATTCTGTAGGCGGAGGTCTTCGTTTCGATGGAATTCTAGAGATGAGCTTCACGGATGCCTAGGTCTTTGAATACGCCTACTGATTTCCATCTGGTTAGTCCACAGTGCCAACTCTTACCCAATTCCATCCAATCATCGAGCCGCTTTCGGGACCCGGAGCCAATTAGATCATGTGGGGGTGTAAGTCAGAGGGAAAGAGCTGACTAGTGTTGCATTCACAGGTGCTTACACAAGAACAAATAAAATGAAGTTAACTATTTCAACAGGGAATAGTGTCAGTAACCAGAATGGGACTTGCGACGCCTCCCCATCCACGCACTGATTGACGAGGAGTTCAGGATTTCATTGATTTGTCGCTCCAGTGGCGTCGAGTCGGGCCTGCAGCGGTGAATGCGCGTTTTCCGGTGGCATATGTTGCATTTCACTTCACAACACCTAGCAAAATACGAAGCATGAAATGCAGGCTATTCTCCTCTGGATCGGAGATCCATTGGGGTCGAATGCGATTCAATCAATTAGGCGCATGATCTAATTCCTGCAGACGTTTCCTTCAAACTTAGAATACTACTGCAAATTTAAATATTTTCATTTGTTTTGTTTGAAAGGAAGGCACTCGAGGTTCCGCAAAATCGAACGGCAGCGGAAGCTACGATGGCAACTGATAAACAGCACAGTCGATGGCGCTGCACTTTAAACCAATTCCATCAATAAGGAAACAATGCTTCTACAGCACGGGGCGAATCGATATGCAGTGGTCTTGGTGCCGACGTCGTGTCTCATGAAACTCGTCATTATAAGTACAGATGTTTTAAAAGTGGAGGTGGTGGTGGTGGTTGTGGTGGTGGTGTTGGTGGTGGTGGTTGTGGTGGTGTTGGTGGCGGTGGTGGTTGTGGTTTTGGTGGTGGTGGTTGTGGCGGTGGTGGTGGTGGTGTTGGTGGTGGTGTTGGTGGTTGTGGTGGTGGTGGTGGCGGTGGTGGTGGTGGTGGTGTTGGTGTTGAATTGCTTATTGACCAACCGCGCACCGCACAGCAGCCTCGAAAGTTTGAAGATGCGGTACTGCAAGCTCAACTGGATGAACACTCAACAAAGACACAATGAGAGCTTGAAGCTCAGTTAGGAGTCACCCAAACACCTATTTCCAAGCGTTTTCACCACCAAATGGGAAAAATTCAACAACTCGGCAGTTGGGACCCACCACATGTGTTGATCGAACCCAACCCGCGTGAACGTACGAACATACATGCCTCTCACTGCTTGCCCACCGCCAACAAGCAGTGAATAGACGTCTTGTGGAAAATTGTGACTGATGATAAAAAGCATATTTTTGTTGCAGGAATCCCAAACGTAAAATGGTGTTGTGATTAGATCACGGACAACAACCCAGTAAATTGACGTCGAAACAGGACATCTACTTGAAAACGGTTCTCCTGCGTATCTGGTGGAGGAAGAGGAAGGGTGTGCTTTTTTAAGACCTCCTGCAAAATAGACGTTAACTAATGACTGCGGAACGCTTCAGCCAACAATTGAACAAACGAAGCTCTAATGGAAGAACACTACTTGATAAGAGAAGGCTGTTTAGGGGTAAAGAAGCAGGTAAGTCATACTGCTGCTGCCGCTGCTGCTGTTGAAAGACAACGCTCGACCACCTCAAATTGATCGCGCTACTCTGAAGACCCTCTTGAACATGGGATGGGACGTTCTGGCACTCGCGGCATTTTCCATAGATTTGGCCCCTTCCGACTACCAGTTGTTCCGGTCAACGCACCAGCACGCTTTAGTGGACAAACAGTTCAAAACGCTGGACGGTGTGTGTACATTCGTCGTCAATGGCTCTATTGCCTAAAAACCTACGAGCTTATTGGGCAACTCGCATTAACCACGAGTCGCACGACCTACCGTAAGTGGTGTGGTCTTGAGACGCAAAAAGGCCACTTGAGAGGGCCTGGGAAAGGCCTGTCAGCAAACCACAACGCGTTACAGGACAGAACCGACTCCAGAAATCAGGAGTGACTCATTCCGGAGACCACGTGCGGTGGGGGACGGGGCCTAGGCGACTTCGCCTGTGTGTGTGTGCCAGTAACACACACGTTCCCACGTCTGTTTCTATCTTGCGGCATCTCAACAGGCTGGCGCGCGGTTAGATTAACTCTCACACCGGCCAATCAACATGTGACAGAACTGAACCCAGACACATTAGAGTGTCTGGTGTCGCCCCTCCCCTCCACAGGGGTCGTTTCGTGCCCCCCCCCTTTGGCTGTCGTTATGCAAATACCGACAGCTGCTCACTCACCTCGAATAGCATGAGTCACTTGAGAAGGGCTGCCTCTCTTTTCCCATTCGTCAGTGGTGGGGAGGGGGGGAGACGAGCGTTAGTCAGCACATGGTGATGCCCACTAATTGTCACATGTTGTGCCGCCATAATTAAACCTCAATAATGCTCATTTCTTGTACCAAAAGACCGCCAATCGTAGTGTAGCGACCCTGTGTGTTTTAAAAATCACACAATCCATGGCAACTTATAACAACAGTCAATTTGATATTGATTTCCAAGTTTTAAAAGTAATTTGTTTCGTATGAAAATTCTGACCTATCAAAACGCAGTTGAAAGGATGCCTTAAATGGATGCATCCACAAAATGCAAAAAATCGATTTTTCAGCGCAGCCGGTCTCTAATAGCAACAAATCACTTGCCTAATTTTAACAAATATTTGTGGTTGTCTTCTTTTAAATATTTAGCATTTTATAGATGAATGCATTTCAAATTTTTAGAATGTAGTCGCTTTTCTTAATAATTTGACTAGTATTAGGAATCATTGGGATGTTTGTTTGAATCCGTTAAAAAACTCTAAGTGTATTGGCTCACCAGACAAATCGACAACCGCACTTTTCTTTCGTATCCACCACAGCCGTGTCGTAGCCAAAACCACAGCAGATTTTGTCGCAGCTGTTGGGGTGATTGGGCTCGGCCACATCGCACTGCCTTCCAGCCACACCAAGGTGACCTGCAGGACAAACCATCAGTCAGCTACTTATAAATATTAGGTAATATGTTTGGGCCCTGACCATCTTCCATGAACTGTAATCAATTTCTGCCAGGTGTAATTTAATTTTTCGCAAAAATTTGTCAGCCAGGGAATGGTTTTGAATCCTAGAAGGGTTTTGGATTGGTCATGTTCGAAACACTCAATTTGAAGGACTTCTGCAGGACTAAGCCGGTACGGCCGGAAGGCCCCTAACGTCCTTCGCATTTCCTTTCGACATCTCGTTGTGTGGTGGCGGAAATAATGGGATTCTTCTCCTAGTGTCCGTGAAGATTAAATTTCCGGTCCAGAAGTGTCTTCGTGGTGCAAACGTGGATTCGTCATCGAAGAAGCCAGTTCGAAAGTGAGTAATCAGTGTCCCCAATCAAACTGTCCGCTATTTGATGTTTCATCGTCCACGACCGAATACAGCTTCGCCTCGAGAAAAACATTTGCACCAGCGCTTAATTAATTTTTGGCAGAAAATTAGTGTTTATAGCAACTCGAGTCCTCATTACACACGCAGATAGTGAGGCTTAACTAAGAGGAATGTGCATCGTCCCCCTGCGCAGGCACACGCGACGCTTGTAATCAGGCGATTTCTCAAACGGTCACTGATATGGAAAGCTGTGGGGGGGGGGTGGAATTGCTTACGGACCTCCATTACCCCCTGATGACTGTCGGTTTGGGGTAATAACTGCGTTCCAGTCTGCGAGAGAGAGCGAGAGAGGAACTGCAAGGGATACCGCGGGTGCCGATTCCGGTCACGCAAAGCACCGGCCGGACAGGACAGATTTATTTTGCGAGATTAAACGTACCTAATGGCGTTTTGGCCAAAATCAGCTTGTTTTATGTTTAAAAAAGTTGCGTTTTCTAGTGATTAAGGAACTAAGCTTTGACGAGTGGCTGGTAAATTAAGGCCTCAGTGACAAACCAGTCTGGTGGCAATTGTGTGCCGTTTTTTTCGGTCAGTTTTCAAACTGAATTGACAAAGATCAACGACTTGCATAGAGGTTCACACAGGTCAAATTGACTTCACGTCATTTTTTGCAAAAAATTTACCGACCAACCATCGCCAATGTCCAGAGAATAACAATTTAAGTATTCCGCCATCTTGCTAAGAAAACCGACTATAAGGTGAAATGGGAGATCTTTCTAACCCCCGAATGCAATTTAAAATGGGCCATTTCTGTGGTTTTTTTAAAAATTAAATCCATTTTTACAACCAATTTGGTAAATTTAATTTCGGAAGTTGAGTTCAAGCCAAATACGCGTTGTGGACTGCCGTGGTTTAACAACGCTATCGATCGATTGCCGCGCCGCACAATCACGACGATGAGCGAAGCTCAGCTGTGGGATTATTGATTTTTGTGCATCGGATTCGATTTTTCAAAATAAGGGAATTGGTGAAAAATGTTATCCTAACGCGTAATTGCGTCAGAAAATGGCCTGCAGCAAAAATATCTCACCGATTCTGTGATCGGCTTTGCAGTAGTCCTGTGAGCTCTCAAGGTACACGAGTTTGTCCCTCTGTTGCCTTATCCACTTGGCGCCGTGCAGCGCGCCGCGTTTATTTCGTTGTCCACTGCCCACGATGAACCAGTTGGTGGGCTTCTGCCAGGTCGTGCTTGTGCTGCGTTTGGCCAAGTGACTTGGCAGGGGCATTCCACCGAAGTAGAGTGGTTCCGCGACGCGCCGCAGGTGCCGAGTCTTCGCATCGAAGGAGACGTGTAGGGCTTCAGCGTAGGCCTTCTTGAGCAGGTCGCCAACTCTCCTGAAGGCACCGACGCGTTGCCAACACGTTCGAAGAGAACAGGCTCCGCTAACACCGTGGCATTTGCACTTCTTTTCTCTGCTCTGCCAGATAAACTGGTGGTGCGTGGAACAGAAGAAGAAAATAAGACGTTTTGGGTGTCAATTAACCAACCAAAAAGGATCGTTTTACTTTCTCCACTGGAGATTTGACTCACAAGACTTAAACTGGAGGTAGTGTTCAGTGAATAATCCACTTATTACACTCGATATCCACTCTCCGATCCACGACTGCGAAATTCCGTCTGCTTCTTGTTTATGTTAATTTTTTTGAAGTCCATGCCACCATGATGCAAATCAATGTCGTTTATACATCAGCAAATTTCAGAATCAAGCGATATCAACGAGTTTTACAAACTCTGATGTAGATGGTATTCTGGCGAGGCCATCTGAAGGCCAATTAGTGGATTCGACGTCGCTGACCAATTGGATTCCAGCAATTCTCTACAAGAACATGATCACTTTTCGACAAGCCAATTCTTGATATTTTCGTGAATTTCCCAGTAATCCAGTTTTACTAGCTTCTGACCTTAAATATTTTCATTTATTGACCATTTGCATTGGGTGGACTTATGCCACTTTATGTGATACACAAACATCGAACGTCTTTACGATCCAAATACTTTTAAAATGTGTTTTTAATTTTTCCTGAGTGAGCAATACGCCCGCGGTAGTGAAGGCAGTTCGCCTACAGGATTATTGATTTTAGTGCCTCATCCCTCTTTCTCATTGGCTGCCGCTACCACCACCAGTTCGCTTGTTACACCCACGCACACACAATGCACTACAGCCGCCCGCAATGTCACATGACCACGTTCCAATTGGATTATCGGTTCCAATCGATTGGTATCAGCTTCAGCAGATTGACCGTAGGCCTTGAAGAGACATTTTCTTACTGATTCTGACAATCCATCTCCCCCAGTCTCGATCAAGCCAAACATTAAGTGTAACCACAGGTTTTAAATTAAACAAGAACATTTTTAATTCGTTATTATTTTCGAACATGCTAAAACCAATTTAGTTAGTTGCTGTTCTTACTGCTGATGTTGGGGTTTTTTTAAACCAATTCGATGATGTCGCAGATAAGGCGCTATTGTTTGGCAACTGCGTCGTTACCTCCTGGGACTCGGCTGCGACTTCATTATTAACCGCAACAAACTGGCGTTTGATTAGACGCGCTTTCGAACGGAATTCATCCTGCCCACATCACCCACCCCTTCAATTTTGTGGATTCAGCAGCTGAAACAGGAGATTGAATGAGCTAGTCACTGCTCACGAGCCAATGGGCGCGTTTTAGCTGCTTGGAAATTGACTAGTGGGTTATTTTTCCAGTTTTTGAAAATGCAGACATCGTGAAATCACTTACTAGGGTCATCTTCGGCCGAGCTGAAAAAATTGCGGTTTTGTGGAGCTCTGGAATTGGTCAATTCCATGTGCTTCTTGCGCATTTTACAGGGCAATTTTTTTAACCCAGCTCTGAAAAAATCTCCTTTTCCGACCGCTAATGTGAGATCTCACTTTAATTAGTGTTTAACACAAGAAACTCTTAAAAAGCCGATTTCCGGGTGTTTGAGAGGCGACTCAGCAAACTATAATCGCTTTTAAAGCGGCAAACGATGGGGTGGTGGTGGCATGTGAAGGAGTTGGGGGTGCACCGGAAAAATCCTGTGCCTTTCGGCTGTCATGCGGTGTCCGAAACTCGCTCCCCCCCCCTCTGTCACCCCACTTCCACACACCTTGACAACGCGGAGAAGCGTTGGAGGAAGCGTGCTTCCACTGTATGGTGCAAATTGCTGGAGAAACAGGTGGTGTCGACACGAGAACATTCAACAGACGTCTAGACGGGACACGTCTGGCCAGTTTTTTGCCTGCTTCGAAAGCATTGGATCACCAACAGCGAAGAGCTGGGAAAGCCACTTGCCAGGACGTCGTCCTACACGAAATGTTCACCTAATTCTTGGGGTTCAAAGAACCGACAACTACTTGGTTGAAGCCAAGGTAGATGTCATCATAATTGACAAAATCGCATTTCGTCGCCATCTGCGTGCTATGTCCAGTCTTCGTGCTTGGAAGTTTGTGCGTTTTACGGAGAATCAGACGATATTTTGATCGATTTTCACTAAAAGGTTTTTTTCGGTCTTAGTAATTGGAACTGTAGCGGCCTCTTATTCACTACGAAATCAGTAAACTTTCTCAGTGAACTCAAAAAAATGTTTCGCCTAGAGACAAATCGATTGATCGAAATTCTGTCGCTGCAATGGTTTACGATCTTCCAAAAGTAGCATCGTGTGCTGTACTAAACTGAGAACCCACCAATCTGAAGGCTTTGTCGTGATTGGTTAACGGGAATGGATCATTTTGTCCCGACCAATGACAGGTCGAGAAGAATATGAATCATTTCTGTGCTAAACGAAATTATCCAACCAGATCTCAATGTAATCCAAAGTGGTTTTGAAGCCTAACAGAAATTTTTTTTTCAAATGTCAAGATGACTGAGCATGGCTGTCAAGCACTCTGAAGGTTGTGCAATGATTGGTTCAAGAGTACGGATAATTTTACTAACACAAAAACAGCTTTTGTACACCGATTATGTAAATCGATATACGAAAGTAGTAAACATCCATTGACTGTATTTGGACCAATGACAAGCCGAGAAAATTACGCGTCAGTTCTCCATGTCATCCAAAGTGTTCTGGGCATTAAAACAAAACCCTTTTTTTTCAATTTGAAAGGCTTGTCGTCGTTTGTTGATGAAACGTGTTAATTAACATCACTTCTCTGCTTTAAAAATTAATTTTACGATTGACAAACCTTCGCTACCTTCTACCATGACACGTAACTAAGGCTACCAAGCGAAATCTGGTTATTCGAATTCGTAACCAAGAAAACTAACTAAATAACGACTTTCCAACCAATGACCTTGAGAGGTACAGATGATGTGGAGTTAAAATCACACACTTACGCGTCTGCCAACATTTCGGTTGTGGCTGTCCATAGACACTCGCGCGATGGTGTGTTCGTCGAAGTGGGTCGCGTTCTGACTGCCACGACGTCCACGGCGTTTCGACGGCACTCGCGCCTCCTGGAACAGTCGAGTTAGTTTCATGCCGAACTTGATGGGGTCGCTGCAACCCCCCCACGTGAACTCGCCCTCGGCGTCAGCCGACTTGCCGCCGCGTCGCGCGGAGTCGCAGTCGCAGGTGCCGATGCGTCCGCGACTGCAGGCACGCGTGATCGCCTGCACCGCGCCCGCTGCCCACGCCGCCGTCATGAACGCCGTCTCCCGGGTCCCTAGAAAAAGACATCAAATATTTCATGACTACTGTGTTCAATTAAGTAGCCAGTTCATATTTGCTTATTAAATGTATTTAGCCATCAATCGCAAACCAACTAACTGACATCGCTCTGCCACTCGGGAACAATTTGTGCAACAATCTCAGATTTAGTTGATATTTTCAGTAATTGTGATTTTGAAAACCGTTGCATCCCCTCGATAGTCGGTTTGGAGATTCCACCAATTTTGCTAGTTTGTATAAAAACCAGTCAAAATTATAATCTACCAAGTTATATTATGGAGGCGGAATATTGCTTAAACTAGAAATCTGCCCATGCCGACGTCATGAACGCTGACTCTCGGGTCCCTAGAAAAAACATCAAACATTTCCTGACTACTGTATTTAATTGAGTAGACAGTTCATGCACATCAATTACAGGTTCCAAGCCGCCAAGTGACAAAGCTACTAGGTGACATCTCTTTACGTTTCGGGTATGCTTTATGCAGCAATCTCAAATTTAATGAAGATTTTCACTAATTGTGAATTTGAAAATGGGGTTCGATAAAACCGTTTGACCCTCTCGATAGTCACTTTGGAGATTTCACTAATTTTGATAACTTACTTGGCATCAGTTAAAATAAAATCCATCAAGTTATATTGTAGAGGCGGAATATTATTTTAGCTAGAAATCAGCATTTTTTCGTTCATCCAAATAATCCGAGAAAGGGGGGAAAAGTGCTTTCTGCGCGTTAAAAATATCTCTACTTAAATACGTGAGTAGCAAGTTCATGAATTTCAAAAATTCCTGTCGGCCATGGTGGGTAATTCGGTGGTTACAGCCTTAATATTTGAAAATTTCTGCGAAGTCGAGTTAGTATTGCGTGCAGGAAGTTGAAGTACAACTTTTGGACGACATCACGGTCTAATATCTGTTGCTACTCGCTTATATTAAGTACAAAATAAATATATGAAAATGTATGGAGCAAGCTTGAAAATGACTGACATGAAACCTGGTTTTAAAGACACATCTAACAATTCAAAGCAGAGGAGGAAGCAAAAAAACTGAAGCAGTGATAGATAAGACGCGATGAGATGTAGCTGGCACAATCGGGTAACTATCGATTTTCAATGGATTTTCGTCTACTCTGGATTTGCTTTAAACATGACTTACTGGTCATTGCTTTGTGATAGCGACCTCTTGCAAAATGTTTTATTTATGTAAAAAAATATTGGTGAAAATTTAAGGACAACCAAATATGTGTTTAATCACAACTAGAAAGTCGATTTCACGCCGTAGTAGAGTCTCCAGGCTTGGCTGTTGCCTGGAAACACGACATCAATTGAGTTCACGTTTCGGTTGGCGGAAATGAGGTCGGAGCCGGTGAGAAGGCTCACAAAATTTTTGAAAAAAAGTGCCCTCGGTATCAACCTGTGGAATTTCACACGGCCACGGTTGCTACACACAACACACACACGTGCATCCACAAACACAAGTGCTCTAGTGTAAACAAATCCACAGGTGAGTGACCGGCGCAGATGTGCCAATCACTGAAAAGTGAAAACACGACAGCCAATCAGAAAAGGACCTTTGCTGAGACCGTCCTGCAGGCCACCGAGGATGTTGGCTGCGGCGGCTGATCCCGTCGGCGGTAGGTGGAATTCGTTGGAACTGCCCGACCCGAAGACGATCCGCGCCATTGAGCAGTTCCATCGCTCGTGCCTGAACTGGTGCACGCACTCGTAGAGTCCCAGCTGCGTACCGTCCACAACGGCCCAGATCAGGCCGGGGTTCTGGCGACAGAGGTGTCGCTGGTGGTTGGTTAGTCCGGGGAGACTTCGACAAGCTGCCTCCGATGCCTCTTCGCTGGAGACGAAGCCGAAGGTGGAGTCGAAGGCCACTTCCAGAGGGCTCATTTGTGGAGGCGACCGTGGTTTGTGGAAGGTTATTGAGGTGGGTGTTGACAAACCAGGCTGGGCAGGTACTCCCACAATTCCATCGAAGCTTGAAGGGGGTGGACGCATTGATTTGGCATATGCCTTGAAACGTGAGTCGGTGGATGTGGCCGGCCGGACGGTGGACGCGATTAGCAGAGATACAACGGAGGTCAGGACATCAAGATATTCCCTGAAATTGAATCCAAACCGTCTGAATGTTTAATACGTCAAGAATTGTCTCAAGGTCACATTCGCTTCTACTTTTTTCCTCCTAATTTCTTGGGATTCAAGAAAAGGGCTGGCAAGCCCTCGTCTCCCTCCTTTTTTAACCACAATCTTTTCTCCTCGCAAAAAAAATTCAAGGAAAAACGGGGTGGTCTGTGCTCTCCCACTGCGTAACCTAGATGCCATCTCATGAGGCAGGTGAATCGCAACCTGGGCGTGTGTGTGTGTGCGTGTGCGCAAACGAAATGTATGCACAACTTAGTAATTTAAACATTAAGACAAGCTTCTTTTTTGTTAGTTCTCGCGATGGAGGGTTTGTTGCGTTTCCACGTCAATTTGCTCAGTTAATCAGCGAAAATTGGCAGACGTGTTTAATTTGGTGCATAAATCACACACACGTACACACGCACACACCTTTAAACTCGTAGGCATGGGAATTGCGAGTTTGTCTTGCCCGTGTGCAAGGTAATCGATAATTTTGAAGATGCACCGAGGCTAGACAACCTCCACCAATGCAGCCCACTGGATTCTAGGAGGGGATCTTCAAGTTCGACAAAGAAGCTCTTATTAGCTTCAACAACCGTTGACGAAATCAACGAAACAAATGCCGGTGATAATGGAACTAACGAGGACTAGACTACATTTTGAACGTCTGAAACTGGTAACTCGGGGATCTTTGCCCAAAACATTGGAAGAAAAAGATTTATTGCTCAAACTGGTAGGCGTGGTTTAAATTTCGCTGATAAGCCTCTTTGCTTGGATCAGTAAACAGGAATAGGAGGAAGTAATCATGGAACCTATTTGATCGCGACCTAATGACCCTCATCTCAACGCAAAACACGGCTGTTTTGCAAATCGTATACACCACTTCAAACTCCAATAAGCCCTTACACAGGCGAAATTTAGCTAGACTTGGTTTCGTAAAAACGAAAATTGTTAAAAACAAACAAACATTTCCAACTCTTAGACAACCGGGAATGCTTTTCACATCGGTTAGTCGGTATTTTTCTCAAAAATATTTCCAATGAGTTTCGACCGAATTACATCAGGTTTCGGATTCAGGTTCCAAACCGGCGCCATTGTTTAAGGGAATTCAATTTAAACAAAATTAAAATACAACGTGGACTTGTTAACACTGGAACTTAGTTAGTGATTGAGGCAACGATAGTTGAAAACACACAGAGTAACACATCAGCTTACGTAAAATGACGCATAGCGCAGGACGCAGGTTTGGGTTGAGGGGTTCACACTTTAATCCTGCGAGAGTGTTAACATTAGGTGTGATTGCTGTTCCGGCAAAATTGGTCAATCGACTACAGATCCAGCCCGGAAGAGAACGAATCGCCAATCCGGTTTTAAATCTTGGCTGATTGCACCAACTAAAACTGCACACACCCACGCACACACGCGTGCGCGGTGAACCAGCCAGTCATGCTAGTCACACAATGTTAGTTTCTGCAACGAGAAATGCGAACCCGCGCGTGATTGGTTGAAACGACGCACACACCCGCCCACCCACGCACCCACACACACATACATACGTAGCCTGTCCTCGTTCCATGGATAGGCGCACAGCATTGTGGAAAGTTTATGAACACGCCAAAATGTGTAACGAAGTTGCCGATCTTCGAATGGCAGGTGGAGTGGATGCCTCGAGGCGCGCGATTCGCGAATCGCCCATGTTTGGATTGGGTATAACCAGTTTTGGTACAATGAACAAACTGCTGAATCAGCAAACAGAGCCATTGAAAACGGAGAAACGAAAATGGCATTTTTGCGAATTTGAGCTCAAAGCCATGCCCTCGTGCAAATTTAGCCAAGTTCTCCTGCCTGTACTTGACTCATTTTGCGAGTAACCAATCACAATCAAGGTCACGTGGATGGATGGGGCATCCTCATTGGTTCCTCTTGGAGTTAGGTGTAAAGAGACTAATCGAACGCTGGGGAGTTTAAATTGTTTGGTGGAAAGATAAATTCATAAATCGACATATGTAGTTTTCAAAAAACTATTCGATTCTTGACCAAATTCGTTTTTTTCAAAACATTGAAAAGACGCGAAATTCAACAGATATACGTAATTTTTTGCAACGACGTTCTGTTAAATTTTAGACAGATTCATGATTCCGACCCTTGTTAACTAAATCAATTTTGGAATCAGTGGTAGTCTGATTTCAGAACTGACTTTTTGCCCCAGTTACCAAATATTTGTGCAGGGCCTTGTGCTCATTTGCACCCAAATTCAATCGCATTGGTAGCTGACAACAAATGACCGTTTTAAGCCTTAAAAATACTCAACTGTGTAATTCTGGAAAACTCACAGGAAGATCACAAAGACACAACTAATGTTTTGGTGCGATTCCCGCTGTTCCATCACAAACCAGTACCATGATTGTTTTCCGTAGGTATAGGAGACAACGATGACCATTTTTTTCAAAAAAATGGTCAAATTTCGTGTGTTTGAAGAGTCTGCTAAGTGTGGAACTTAAATAACGAATTACTATGATGTGAAGCGATTTTAAATAATTGACGTGTGTGTGATGCATTTGAGGATAACCTGTTCAAAGATTGAACGAGATAGGTACAACAAAGCCGACCAATCAAGAGCACGAAGACAGAGGATTGGCTGAGCTCGGCTTAATCCAATACAATAGATTTGATTTGCTCAATATATATATTTTTTTCGTAAATCAAAACCTCCACATTTAACTGTTTACCCAATTTTGGAAGTTATAATTCAGAATTTGCAACTTCGCGTTTCTGATCTACAAATTTTGTCAAATTTCATGTTTCCACAGGACCGAAAAGCCGTGTCCCTATTGGCCACTTCAATCTTAACGCCAAACGTTGTTTTAGACGTCCCCGCTGGTATTAAAAATGACCTGGTGATTTAATTAATTGCAATAAGTAAAATTTACTAATCATGTTCGAACGTTTATTAAGTTGCTAGGCAACCATTGAGTGCCTTTTCTTGGAGCGCATGTAAAAATGCGATTTAAAAGTTGTTTTTTTAGACGCTGCATTCCAGTCAGTAACGCCAAAGGTGAACGAGATCCGGAGGAACACAATCACCTGCATCCACGTCGATGCAACGCCGTGGTTACTTATGATCTCCGCTAGTGGTTATCGTGATTCCCCGCACACAGCACCATTTCCACTCACTGACTGTCCATAAATGCCCATTTTATTCGCCGAAAATATGCGTTTTTCCAATGACTTCTCCTGCTAGAGGCACAAATCATCTCCGTGTGTGCGTGTGTGCGCGCGCAGAGTTGAAATCAGCTGTTTGTTCCGGCGTGGTTGGCCTTAAATCCCCGGCTTCCAGACACCTCTAATGGTCTGGCCTGTCTGCTGGGTGAATTTATCTGCCTGTGGACCAGAATCTGACTGCACGCACAACGATGCTGGCAGAATGTTTGACCGCGCGCAACCTTTAGATTGAGAATCAATGGCATCATTAGTGTACAGAACAAGTAATCCGTTAAAATATGTCCCTCGATATAACACGTGCTTTGAGTAATTGTGTCAGTTGTTCTCGATTCTAAGCCCAGTTTCACAACATCGTTAGAAATCAACCATCTGCGGTGGTGTTGCATCACTGGTGTTTGAATTTACAAATCCTACATCATACTACGAATTGATAAATCTCCGTTTCACAAATGGGCCGAAATCCTGCATACGAGGGAGGTGACTGTAGCGAAATTTCTCACGGGTCGGAAACACTTTGAATGCGATCCTGGGGTCGCCGAACAGCTGTTCGCATCAGCTTAGGGTTTATTGTCTACGTAGACGGCAAATGAGACGCGTCTGGTCCGGCCTACTGCTGTTTGTTCTTTAAACTCTGAGATTAGCATTAGCATTTTAAGAGGCGAAACGTAATCGGCAGCGCAGGACAAACGTATCGGGACACGCAACATTCGTGCATACTGGGGCTGTGAAATTGCCGAAATGGCGGGTGTGTTTGAGTTTCAGGAGCCGAAAAACGCACTCATTAACGCACACGTGAGCGCTAGAATTCTGGCTAACTTGCAAAATCTGGTCGATTTTGATTGGTCGATGCATGAAACCACTGACCTACCGTCCTATCCCCTGCATTTAAGCGTAAGCCGACTCAAATTGATGGGTTAACAAGGAGTTAGTTCCAATTGCGCAAGTTTTGAATTTGCGCACACGCAATTTCTGGTCCCTATCAACAATAAATTATCCAGGTGTTATTACAAAGCACCGTTATTTGATTTCCATATTGCGGTCAGTTTCATGAGTTGTCGACAGTTACTGATTGTTAACTGTCGTGATAATGCTTCCAAACACACGCCACATTAGTAATTCCATCAAACCCACAGATGTGACCGGGACCCAGTTGAAGTCTGGTTAAGATTTTGTCGTAGGCAGCTTCAACAAACCGACCAGAACGAGGTTTGGCAGGTTTGGACAATTTCGGCATTCGCGTTCTCCACACCTCATCAAGCACAAAATGTGGTTTTAGTGTGATTTAGGTCAGCTTTAAAAAAAATGCAGCAAACCACGACTGGACACTAATTAGAAGCAGATGTTAAAACCCATTCGGGCAGTGCGAATATCCATTTCAGAGCACATCTCCGACTCTCTTGTCGTCGGTGACGGTTCGATCCGGGAGGTTTCGAATTCTGTGAGTGAGTAGGCGCCAGACGGTGTCGACAAAGTGCCTTCGGGCGGCTTAGCATGCATTTCCTTTCGAAAACAGATTTAAACAGTCATCGTGGTCGATTTTGTTTCACCTTCTGCATACCGCTCACAGATGCTCGTTGTTAATAGGACTAAAATTTTTAATTAAATAACTTTATAAGACCTGAAGTTGGAAGCAACCAATGAATGTGTCATTTCCTAGGACAAACACTTGAACACATAAACAGTCACCAGTTTGCTCAGGTCCTGCAACAAGAGTTAACATGTGTTTTCACACCAATCAACTCATCGTGTTATTGGATAACATAGAAATACAGTGACAGCCAATAGGAATGGTCGAAACTGTTCAATCATTCGCTGACCAATCAGCGAAGTCTCAGTTTGTGGATGCGAAACCACACATAGGTCAAGGGTGTCTGTTGTGGGCACGATCAGAGAAAAGTCAGTTTGTGTGAGGGTTTGAATCGTCGTGATGGGACCCAGTTCCAGGTGAAAATCGCAGATTTTAATAGGCTGAATCAAATCCGAGGGAGTTGTGAGGGGCAAAATAGGCTTTCTTGGGCTGTTGTGGGTAACAAATACATCCCTGTGCCATAACCCCCCTACCCCCACCTGCAAACCTCGTGTCTATTAGTCAGGCACGAACGCCAAACCTGTCAACGCGTGAAAAGGGCAACCCCAGCTCTGACTGCCTCAGGATGGCATTTGTAATTATCCCTCGCTAAAATGTCATTCGGGTGAGATCTACGCCACATTACAAAACACACAACTCTAAATGAAACCCGGGGAATCCGTAAGACGCCGTAACCGTCTCTTTCTCTTTGAAATCGAAAGTTCTTCTGGATTTCTTCACTAACACTTACGACGTTTTGCAACAATTTAAGGTTTGTACTGACAGGATTTGCCAACTAGGTGATTTTTTGTGTGGATTCCGTTGAGACGAATCTGAAGGACGAATGAGACTTCTAACGCATGCGGCATCAAATTCAGAATGAGGTGGATGGTCAGAGCAATGGCGTATTCCGTGGTGTCGTTGGTAGCGTACTTCATGCAAACCAATCGAAATTAAGGAGGCTTTGAATGAATCCAATCGTGAACGACTGAAAGACGTGAAGGGATTGGAAAGGTTACGGTGCAATCATTAAGTCGTTTAGTTAGACCCGCCAAACACGGTGGCATATGTGTGACTAAGCAATTAGTGTCACAAAATCATCACAAATGCTGCGTTGGAGGCTGCACTATGGCAGTTGAGATCGACTAGCGGGCGCGTTTTAAAGGCAATCGAATTATGCTAGACTTACTTAGATCTAAATTTTGATATTTGTATTAATTGCAGAATTTAACCTTCAATAAGTGTTTTTTTAAATTCAAATAAGGCGCCTTTTGTTGTTTTATTACGGTCGTGGTAGTTGTAGTGATATTTTGCTAGAATTGATCAACACTTAGTAGTACTATCAACAAATAAGCACAGATAATTAAACGCGAGAGTCTAGATCGCAATAACTGATTTGATTAGGACATTTCACATTTTTAAGGGTAGTGAGTACCTGCTTAGCGTAGACAATGCTGCAAGAATGTGATTATCACCAACAAATGACGATACGTCTTATGGGCATTTAGTTTGAACTCGTCAAAAAAAGTCAAATAAACTTTCTGCTCACACTATTTCGTTTTAGCTTACTTTGCTAAAATTTAACATCTGTGTAACTACAATTATAATTATCTTGCCTTTCTAGAAAATATAATGAATTTAGTGAATACTAAATTATGCCTTAATTGCGCTAGCTCCGAAAATTAGTTTACGCAGCTCGTTAATGAATTAATCAAACTCATTTCCAAAACAGGTGATGCATTCTAAATTATTTCCTTTCTACATAAATCAATTAACCAAAGAGCAAAATAGATCGTTGACTCAAGTAAAATTAAGATTACCAATACTAGTAATTTTGTTTCTTAGTAAAAAGAAACTGCACAATTCCATATACAAAAACGCAACCTATTAGCTAAGTATACAATCAGTGTAGGCTACTACGTTATCAACTAAATAAAGACTTTAACTGTCGAGCGTACAAAAAACCAAATCGTAGAGAAAATGATGAAGACTATCGCGGCAATAATTAATCATCGATGAAATGCCATAAATTGCAATTTCGTCAAAGCAAATAAGAAATATTATGGTTCAAAAGTTGAAAAGCTGCTTAGGTACAACAGTGTTTTAATGTTACAATTTTTTTGCAAAATAGGCACAGAAAAATTAAGGATGTTCTGAATTGTGACACTCTCAGATAATTTGATCTCTATTAGCTTTGTGTGTACATGTATAAATATTGTGGAAACTAACTTGCAGTAACTGATGTTAACTTTGTGTTTGTTGCGAATATGCCTTACACAAACTTAGAAACACTTTAGTCATTAAAAACTTTCTCAACTTAAACGAATACATCTGGAAAAGTTTAGATAATTGATGGTCGGCAAAAAGTAGACCAAAATGTGCGTCATTAAATTGTCACATTTCTGTATTAAAACTAATACCACAAAGGTACTTAGAAAAAAATTACTGCTTACTGTCTGTTTGGCAGTTTAAATTTCCATCCCGTAAAACAGACATCAAATCCAGTCTGGGTTTGTCTCATTAACTTTATACGAATAAAAAAATACTTCAATCAGATAATGACTACGATTACGAATTAGCCAATATTACAGCGTATCATAAATGATATAAAAGGGTTTTATAATGGTTTGTGTTTTTTTCGTAAACACTTGTACTTTAACATATTGTTAATATGTACAACTGTTTGTTATATTGTCCAAGGCCGTTTGAGCCGCCTAAGTAATGTAGTCATGGGATTTCGTGTTGCCGTATGTTTTAAGTTATTACGAGTTTAATCCATGAAAGGCTAACCTTACAATGCTACAATGAGAATACGTATATAGGATTATACGTGTTTATTTATTTTAGTATTTTTATTATCAAATTTTAAATCACGCAAATAAAATAAGAATTGAATTTAACATTTTTGTATTCTCTTACGCATTTAATAATTTCTGGAATACAAAACACGTTTTAGCAAACATTTTAGGTCCTTTTAAAATGCATCACAAAATCTGGAATATAGAGGTGGATAATTGTTTTTAGATGGTCAATTCTGTTGTGCTTCGGATAATTTTTAAATTGTATTACATGGTCTCTATCATAATTATGGTCAGCAGGCATACAGGTAAATTTTTTTTTCAAAAAAATTTGACATTTGAATGAAAGGTTGCATAAGATTCAGTTTTTAACCCCAATTTTTTATTCCCACAATTGTCGTATTTAATTTTTGAATTTGATTGCAATTATTTGCAAACTTACCCATATCACAACTTAATCTTTGCTGCAAATATAATATAATATTGTATTATAACCATTTTGTGACTTTTCAGGCCATGCAGTATTAGTGTATTATGTCTTATTACCGACGTTCACTCCAAGCTATTCAAGTGCATTGGGCGGTTGTGCAAATGTAACTTATGCATTGAAACGAAAATAATTTTACATACACTCATAGCATCCCGTGAACCTACCTTTTGGTTAAAGTAGAGCCAATAAAGGCCCGTTGTTTAAATTACACTGGCGCAATATCAAGGTCCCAATTAGAAGAACAAGTGCACAATCCTTAAATGCATCCTTCGGCCGCCGGACAAGTGGCCAATCCACAACTGCCAAACAGCCTGGGACTCACACAAACCCTCTCCTCTCTTTTTTCTCCGGCGTCATTTAATAGCTTTAGCAGACACCCAAAACTATGCAAAGATGTCTCAGTACAAGTTGCCGCGAGAAACAGCATAAAAGTGCGTTCTCCGCAACGTAAACTCCATGCTGTTGCTACCAAAACAAGTACGTCTTTAATTAACTGCTAAAATGAAATCACCATGGTATAGCGCCATCTATAGCTGAGTGTTTTGGTACATTTACACTTCCGTTTGGTTACTTGAAACCTAAATCAAAGAACGTGTTTTAACGGAGTCTGGGAGTAACTCAACAATGATGTGTATAAACTCAGGACGCAAATTGAAATCAACGGTTTTGATCCAAAAGACTTACTTGCCTCCAGCTCGCAAATCAGCATATTAAAAAATAACTATTCTGTTATCCACAGCACTAACTGAAAGTTAGTTCAATTACATGGATCATGCACCAAGATGTAATCACCTGCACGTATAATTAATTAAACTTCAGCTTTTATTAGCAGAGGAAAAAAATTGTTTTGTTCTGTTTTAGATAACTCCAAGCTAGTTGATTTGGCATTCAACGATCTTTATTTAATAAGAGGAAAAAAAATTGAGCTTTGTTGCGGAGGTAATTTGCAATGTGACACCTGTTTGAGTCAATGAAGTCATAATTACTCACAACAAGTGCAATCTGTCTTTGCTCCTAGCTGAAAATGGACTTCCAGTAGAAAAAAAGCGTGTAAAGTGCTCTCGTGTTGCCGTCACTTTGTGCTTCTCAAAGTGCTTTCCCTGCATTTACCCTGACGAGGTCTATTTAATCGACCCACCCGTTGCTGCGGCAGCGTGTGTTTATGCTGAACACAAACCAGGACTTGAGTTTGCCACGTTGACTGTCGTCAGCTCCAACTTTACCTCCAACTGGTGGCTGAGGCCCCTGGCCCTCCGATCTAGGGGTCTCAAGGAACAGCAACCTAACCAGCAACAGGGCGAGCTCATCTACACAGTCCACTGTTCGTCAGTGCGACCGAAGACCACTGACTCTGAAGCCTCCCACTCCACTCCCTCCAAATTCACTGCAGCGCCACGTCTGGCGAGGAGATTCTCCGGTCACAGACGCAAAGGCTGGGGACTTGTGAAGATGCTACCGAAGAAGTCGGTGTCCCTAACAGACGGCACAGACGGTGTGGTGTCTGGCGCAGCGACGTGTCCGATGCCTGGCCGAAGTAGTCCAAGGCTCTCAACCAGCTGTTCGCCTGTCGACCCCGCTCTCCTTGCCAAAGCCAAGGCAACCGCACAGGAGGCTATCAATGTGAGTATGCGGTTGAGGTAAATTCAGGGTTACAAACAGGGAAAATTCATTCACTTAGCGGAAATTTTAACCTTCATATTCTCAAGTACTTCCATCGCCGTATCTCTAGTATGGGAAAATAAGATTGCTAGATAAACTAAATAAACAGGCATTTGTAACATTCCCGTTTAGCTGTGCAAAATTGCTTGTCATGTAGCAATAGCAGGGTGCTAGCTCTTGTTTGAATTTGCCATTGTTTTTAGGGCCTCGTTGTCATAAAGATGAACATCACTCATAATGGCGTCCCCCTGAATTCGACTTCCGGTCACCAAAATGGCCGTGCGTTAAAATTTGTCCGAAAGAAGTATCTGATGGTAACGAAACTCTTAAAAGTGCAGGAAAATTAGTTATTAACAGGCCGCGATTTCCAATATTCATTAGTAATTTCAATGAGTCCGCCTTCATTTGGAGTCATTTTAAACAATTCCGAATTATTGATTTTCCATCGCTAGGGGCCATTCATAGTGCGTGTGTTTTACACAGATGCCTCCTGCTTCTTGATTTAGCCGTTGATTTAATTCTGACCTGCTCATAGCGCCGTTTACATTTCGTTCACTTGACGAGTTGTGACCATGAAAAGCGCCATTTGAAATGCCAAACAGCAAATAACACGATGCTTCATCGGAAGTTCTGAGTTGTCATTTATTCCTCGTTAATTCAGCTTGTTTAGTTGATAATGCGCCTTCATTTTGTCGTCAACTGTCACATGACTTACGAGGTCATCCGCCGTTATCAGGTTCAAATTGTGTTCCAACGAATTCATCACAGTAAAACAAGGGCTTATGCAGAAATAACATGGCGAATGTCACATATTTGTGCACAAACCTGGCCCCAGACTGCGTTGAAATACCGTTTTTTTCTCCGCGAGGTGATGAGGTCGATTCAAATCTGGCATCACTGTGAACTCGAGTGTGGTCGACACACGCCTGGATGCAGCAATCATTCTTGATTGTGAAAACCGTGACGATTTGTGTTTGCGTTAAGACGCAAACATTGCATTTGCATTCTAATTAGACGGTCAGGATCTCATCTGGTGCGCGGTACCAACTAACATCTGTAGAAATTGACGATCCAATAGGCCACGAATGCGGCAATTTTACGGTTCTGTTTCAACGAACGAACAAACATTTGCATCCTCAGTCAAAAACGCAGTTTAAGGCTTATAAATGACTGACGCACTAACGCTAACTCGAGTTGAAATTATCTGCTTAAGAACCTATTATGTTAGGTGGGTAGGCCACCAGAATTCGGTGGTGTGGTTTTTGTGAAAACCTGACGTCCAATTGAAATTTGTGCAAATTTCGTAAACCCAGGAATTAGGAATCACTTTCGCGTGTAGTTTTCTGCTGAAACAGTTGAACGAGGTCAGTTTTCAATGACGCAAGAACCGTTTTTCGTTGGTGCGAAAAAGTGCTTTTTTTTCTTTAAACGAAGTACTTTCTCACGAGTAGGGTTTCGCATTCATTTGGCTTCCCTCACGTTAACCTAAATTGCCAAATACAATTTTAAAATTCCCAATTCTAACAAGTTTCAAATCTGTTAATCCTGAAAATCAAAAAAAATGCTGCGTCGGAGACAACAGATGTTTTTTTACGTTGGTCTTGGATAAAAATGCTATTTGTAGCCGCGTGGTGTTATTTGTAGCCTTTTGATGCCACTGTCTCCTTGTTCGTGTGTCACATATTTTTATAAGAAAGTTGATTGGATTTAAACAAACAAACTGTCTCACGCTCTCGTGAAAGAGTTCGTTTTGAAAAAGGGCTTCGCATCTTCGAACATTTTACTCCGTGGAAACTTGCTCACAAACACAGTTCTAGGTCGTGGAACATCGTAAATGGGAAAAGTCATTTAAGGAAAATGCTTTAACCGGTTTAGAACGTAGTCAAACGAGTTTAAAGATTTCGGCTTTGAAAGCACCGCGTTTTAGGCTAATTACGATCGGGAATCGGAGCATCATTTTCGACCCATGTCGTGTTTAAAGGACGAATTGTGTTCGCGCAGCATTGACCCCTCAAAATTTTGGTGCATTTCAAACCCTCCGGCGTTACTATTGGTTAGTTTAGCTCGAGTGAAATCGATAAATTTGGGGTTATAGTAGTGGACTCACGGGCCTGTAATCTGGTCCTGAGAAGCTCCACTCACGATTCCCTGTCCAACTTATAGTCTGATCTCGGTGGCCCTTTAATGCTTGTTTCAAAAATTTTGTTGCGTTTTCACAGAACATCCATGTAGATCTCGCGTATCCTTCGTTGTCCTTGACACTGAAGCAACACGGTTTGGTCCAGCCCCTAGTTATCTCCCATTTTCAACTATAGGAAACTGAGACAAATAATTAAAAAATTGACTGCAGTTTCTGTTCTATTGGCTTCCTACAAGTGCTCGAAGAAGCTGTGCAAACAGATGACAAATTAACTCTCTCCCTGATCGAAAAATGGCTTTGCAAACCATTAAAGTCATGCTGGGAAATGCATAAGTGCATAGCCAAGGATCTTGTGTCCGACTGCATGTGGTCTGCATTTGAGAGACATTGCCCAATTAACGGGTTCAGGCAATTAGTATTTTATCTCTGAAAAATATAATTTATTGTCTGGATGGAAGCAGCTATGTGCAGTACATTAAAATAATAAATGCGGTTCGAAGTGCCGCCTAAAATTCAAATGACCGCCCATCGAACACCCAGCCTAGTAAAACAAAAGAGTCGGAATTCGATAAATCCAGTTCAGGCGTCAATAATTCAATTTCGTGCATTGATACATGCCAGTGTTGAAATTTAGGTTACGTTTCAAACTGACTGTCAACTCCTGATATCGTGTTTTTTGAGTGACCTCGTGCAATTACCACATTTTTCGCGCGAAACATCAACAGTTGTTCTGAAATTATATGGATTATGAGACTCACATTTGCATATCTAATTTCGCCATTCAAAAGATTAGACATAATCAATTTTCCCGCCTTGGAACTAAACGATAATCGATAAGGAACTGAATTGCCATTGGCCGTGTCAATTGACAACTTATTCAGCCTAAGATATCATTCATGGAAAGTTCGCCACGTTCACGAGTCCTGTCAACTTAAGCCGTGTTGATCTGTTAACTGGCTCATTTTTTGTCTAGAAAAACATGGTTTTCGCGGTACTGGGACCCTACCGACACATTCGTGAAGGAATGCGACGTCGCGGGTGGGTCGAAAAGTACTACCAGGCGCCCACGACGGTGAGTAGCGAGCGTGTGACGTCACCGCGTTGTCCGCGGGCTTCCAAAAGTCAAAGCTCCAACGACTCTAGCTATCGCGACCTTGAGGTCTTCAAGGGAGACATTGACTACAACGATGAGCAACAGAACGACCTCGGATACGCCACAAACGGTGGGTCTTCAGCCGTCAAATTTGCGCAGATTTAAACTATCATTTTCCAAATTTACTAGATTTTCTAAAGACCGCTTAGATCTTAGCTGCTGTCGGTTGTTTACACTACTGTTTATAATTTGATTGCGATTCCTGAGTTGTCTGAAAAATAGGTGCTTGTTTTCGTGTTTTTCAAGGTCGGCGGTTGCTGCCGTGGGAGGAGAAGAACGGATTTTACGGACTCCTGGTACGTTCACCCAAATTCTCATCCTTGAGATACTTTCTGCCCTAAAAGTTGTTGAATTGCGCGTCCAAAATTTCATCTGGCTTTCAAATGTAAGCAAAAAATGTGCGTTAGATTGGTCACCGAAATGACGAATCAAATACAGCCATATTCCGGTAGTTCTCTAGCACTGTGATTGGTCAGTTTGTTTTAATGCAGACCCCTAGTAATTGGACACGTCCGTTTCTGCTGGTTGCGCAATGCAGTCTGGTGGGAACTAGTAAAATTAAAATTTTAATCATCTGAGAGGCTGCAAAGTTCCTAAAACGAAAATTACCCTTGTTTTAATTTACAATGAGTCGCTTTTGTGCACGTTCTCCTGATTAATTAAATTTTAACCACTAAAAACACGCCATTTTATGGCGCAATTTCAAGTGTCAAGTTAGGCTGACTCGTCATTCAGGATACACAAAATTTGTCGAATCACGGAATGTCAAGTCGCCTCAGCGCGAAATGTGAGCTTAATTGTGGGCAAATTTTGAGATCTCACACACACTGCCAAAATGTAGTCAGGATTTACCCTAAAAACGCCAGTCGCTGAGAAATTAATCGAAATAACACTTCTAATTTTCGAAATTTAAAGTCGAAAAATATGGCAGTGACTAGACAAATCGACGCATTTACGGCACAACCGTCAATTAACTAGATGGCCAATGAAATGTGAATAGCGGCTTGCAAGCCAGAGTCGATTTCGGCAAAAATCAATAATTGGATGTACCTTTGGCCAATGAGGAACCAGGTAGACACGAGTCTAATTTAATCTACATGATGAAAACAAATTTATGCAAAAATCCTTCATATCATTCAGTGTCCTTTACTTTGACGTCGCTGAAAGCATTTCAGTAGTCAGAATGCACTATTAATCTCATTCGAATATTTTTAGACTTGCAAATTTACCCTTTTAAAGAAATCCTTTGGTGGTTCCAAAAATTTCCTTCACAAAATAGGAATTTACTAGAATTTCGCAAATATATATTTCAAGTATCTACACATTTTTATCGATCGATAGTTACATATCTATTTTAAATGTTTTTTTGTGAATTTAAAGTAGTCTTTTTGCAATTTATAAATCTTGAAATGTATGGCAAAATGCTTTTAGATAAATCTTTTAAGTTCGGATAATATTTTACTTACTACAGGGATTTACTGCTCAGAAATACATATGATAAAATTTAGACCAATCACCTTACAGCATTCAGTGTGCGTGTGTGCGTGTGTGTGTGTTTTGAAAGAAGTATATTCATGTGTTCCAGGGCAGATATGTCAGGCACGTGGTCCCGAATTTCATCTGGTCGTTGAAGAAGGCTCAGATCGACTTCCGCTTCCTCCGTCCAGGCCAGATCGTCAACCACCACACCAGAGCGCCATTCACAACCAAGGTGGGTGGGGCCCCTTGAGCACTTGGCTGGAAAGGGGTGGGGGAGGCGGGGTTTTTGAGCTCTGAGTTGACCCCCTCAGCCGAGTGGTACCGGGTTCGAGACCGGGCGGTCAACACTCAAGCCTGCTTAACACCGCCCCCCCCCTACAGGCTGACTTTGCTCAACAAATTTAGTGGCGTTGCTTTGCTGACTCACCTCAGTAGCCGAGATTTTATAACTTTTAGATTTGCTGTGCGCGGGGGGGCTGTGTTTTCCGCCTCCGAGTCATTCTGTTGAGTTTGTACAAGCCGCTGTTTAGTTTTGTGTGAAAACTGAGCCGTTAGAACCCTAGAAAGGCCAACAGATGCACTCAAACTCGTTCCCTGTTTGAAATGAACCACACTTTACCAATCGCAAGGCCATCAGGATGGTAATTAGCTCGATGATGATGCTAATGATGATGGTGATGATAACCTCTAAAGCACACCCACTTTATACGAAATTTTGAATTTTTTACCCTTCCTCTAAGTTAAAAAAAAAGGTTGAGCACACAAACACCCCTTACTTCCTCCTCACATATTTTATCGTTTGTGTCACGCAACCGGGATACAATGTGTGAGACGTTAAGATGCACTGTCAAATCTTAATTCGTTAAAACACGAAATTTAACTGCAAACAGATGATTTAAACAAACTCACTGCAATCGTTTCGGTGCCATAAAATTCCACAGACAACCGAAAAATTCAAGGACATCTTGCAGGGGTGAAATTTCGCCAGCCTGATGACTAACGACTCATTCGACCAATCACGACCGATCGATAAATTTGAAGCGCGTCATTCAAGAGCTTTTTTGTCGACGTTTCGCATGTGTCAGCTCTAAATTAATCTAATTTCTCTTGCATTAACATCGAAAATCGATACATGGGCGTGTGAAAGCATGTGGAACGATGGCCTTGTTTGTGTGGATGAATTTGGCTTACTTTGACCCACTGAACCTGTATGCGCTGTTTGAATGCATTTTGAGCTTGAACTAAGCGCCACTTCTGTAATCAACTTTTTCGTAGCAAAATAGCCCAGGGAAGTCGAAGTGTGCAAAAAGTCGGGTCGGTAGATAACAACTGTTTTGTTTAATATCACCCCAATCCTACACCTATTTTGATTGGTTCATTTGACCATTATTTGATTGGTAGTTTCCGGACAAAATTTTTCATGCTGTAATTCAATTCAATTAAATGCGTTCAACTGGGGTCGTGGGAATAAGTCCGTGGGTTCATTAGTGTGCAAAAACGCCTGTTTATTGATTGGATTGGTACCTGAAAATATTTCCACCAATAGGAACAGGGCTTGTAGATTAGTGGCCAAAATTTGCAGCATTTCAAACCATGGTCAATTGGATGGTTGTGAATCACAGTTATTCTCCACCAATCGTACGCTTTCAGCACAATGCCCTCAAAACCATCGACCGGTTCAAAACCACAAAATTTTGACAGCGACGTTTATCAGGCGAGGGTAATAAAATGGAAAACTGCGCACCTCAGTTTGCCTATTCCTTAGACCTGTAATTACTCGAAGTCAAAATCGGTAATAGGTTCTAGCAAAAATACCTGCTGTCATTTCATTGCAAGTAATTTTTTGTGCAACGTTCTATTTACTTAACCAATGTCAGTAGCAAAATTATCTAAACCTAACACATTAAGGTATTGATGGAATCGGGCTCAAACACCACCACCGGTTTCCAGATATTCTCTGCTAATTTTTCCTGAATTTTTCTCTTATTTTGCACGTGTGTGCATCGTTGCACCTTCTGTTGCCTTCAAAAGATGCAAGATTTCCGCAGCTATGGATTCCAGAAAGCAGTTAATGCGCCCAACTTCGCTGCAGTTTGAGAACCTACCATATTTTGCAGGTTGGACTCTGTCGGAATTTGCGTCTCCGCGGCTCCTCCAAGGAGAAGATGGTGGACTCCCTCTTCCCTCGGTGTTTCGTCATCTCACAGGACGAGGATCGGGCACAATTCATTAGTAAGACTAAGTCTATGTCCCCCCCCACACACAGATTACTCCAAATTGCGCAGCAAGTTCAAGATTTCCCAACAGCAATAGCCGTATTTTCACCGCGAATGGATCCAGGAGTTGTCGGAAGTATCCAGCCATGGTTCACAGCCGTTGTCTTTGCATAAACCTAATCGTGACCTCGTGAAATCACAATCGTAAGGACGATATCGATTATGTTCTTGACATATTTGACCTCGATTGACACATTCAAACACATCCACAATCCGTCCGTTGAATGCGATGACGAAAGAGAGAGAGAGAGAGGGAGAGTGTTAAGTCATTTTTAGTAGACAGTTCCAATCCTCCACGCAATTCCACAAACTTCAACGCTGTCAATCTCTTGTTGGTTTTTTCCAGAGGAGTTCCGCCTGACAGCGTGCATGTCCGCATTGAAGTGGGCCTGCAATTACTACGACCTCCCAAACCACCCGACAGACAACGTTCTTGGTAAGTGAGGGCCCCTCATTCACCGGCCACAATTGTCACCACAAACTGTCCGTTTGAATAGCAGACAGTCTAAACCCTTTGCTTCCGGCGGTTATGCTGTCTGTTTGTGGGGCTAGACGAAGTCAGAACGCCTTGATGGGTGCCATGATTGGTCCCCTAACACTATCGGTTCTCATTTTCCACTTGGTTGCGCTCAATTTAAACAAAACAGTTAGTTTACTGCTGTGATTTTACAAGTAGGAATCCCACGTCTTTACAAACCAACAGGGAATTTGTCGATAATAAGTTTTATTGAGTATTTGACATGCGGAACGCAGACAAATTTGTGTCTGGTTGAGGGGGTTGGGGTTGCAGACGAATAGTCTCGTTCAGTCAACTTCTTCGTCATCGACCAATAATTGTGGAGAGGTTTTGGGAGAGCGATTCATCCAACTCCACTCGTATACCCGAGCAAGTTAGTTCTATTAAATCAAGCGCCATCCTGCACCATGACAAAGCTAGATCACATGTCGTTCAACACAGATACGCAGGCGAAGCCTCTAGCATCATCAGCCATATTCCACTAACATTGATCCGCTGCATTCTCATCTGACTTGTTCTCCACAACGCACTTTGAATGGCAATGTAGTTGGTTCCATTGAATTACTCTGACAAGTCGCTACGATATTCCTTGATGAGAAATCAATATGTGTTTCGCATAAAAGACGAAATTCCAAGGGTTCTCAAAACGCTGGAAAATGATTAAAAGTACACAAATAGTTAGCACTTGCCACCGTTTCAAGAATGGTAATTTCTTTCACACAAGTCAGTTTGGTTTCGAACTGGGCGCGGACAGTTGCAATCGCCCATTGTGCTTTAATCCACAATCCATAATCAAACCATTGGGCTCAAAAATAAACTTCGGCAATTTGGGGCATGGTGTGTGACCTACGCTCGCCGAATTCCCAGGGTTGGCTCGAAGAATGATACATTCGTGTTGTCATTGCTTGAATTTTCTCGCTTAAATTGCCCGAAAATAGTTACTAACGCTCATTTCCCGACGCATCCGATGACTCACACAGGCGCCGGCAGTTCGGAACACTATAGCTCAGTCGCGAACACCTCAAGGGGGGTGATTACGCTCTCTGCCCCCTGCCCCCTGCCGCGAGCGTTGTCAATCCGGTTGCCGGAGCCGTTGCCTCGTTTTCCCACCATATAATTTTCGCCTCTAATTGCTCGTTTCTTTCGCAAATCGACCTAATTCACGCTTCTGGAGGGTTATGTTGCCTGCGTCGTGGCTGCAGTAAGTCTGTCGTCTGCATTAAGCATGTGGCTTGGGTGCAGAAAGATTTTGAGGATCGCAGCAAGTAGGTGGTTTTGGGTGCGTGGAAGCCAGTGTCCAAGGCGACACACTCACCGTGCGACAGACTTACAACCCCCTGCACGAGTGGCTGACTGAAATTGACCGGATTCATCGTCTGGTCTGATTCTCTCTTCACGTGCCAATTTGATGACTGGTTTCCTTTCC